AGGATGATTATGGACCTGTAGAAAGCTTGTTCTTCAGGAAAATACAGAGGTCAAAGAGATCCCTTGGCATGAACAGACCTTACAGACTGGTGAAGAGGAAACCTCTTCTATTCTGTGCTAGGAAGAGATGGGGAACAGCCACAGGGAAGCTGCAGATACCAATTTATTTCAGGACATTTTGTTGTGTTAGGGGGAAACAGGGATTACAGCAGAGGCTGAACTATCTATTGTCATTTGTTTTCTTCTTCCACTGCAGTAGCATTAAAATATTCTATGAGATAATCTAAAACTGTAAATCCTGTTATTTCTTAAGGGTACATTACCTATGAATCACTTTTAGACATTTCTAATAGAAACTTCGAGGCAGTGACGGATTTTTTTGGTACTACTCCATTTTGCTCAAAGGTTTGGGCAGCATTTGAAAAGTTGCATCTGTTTTAAGTAAACTGCAGCATCACAGTCACGTTCAGCCACATTTCAATCTGTTCCTGGCTAGCAAAGCTTGAGAACGTTGTCTTGATTTCCTTTTGTAACTATCTGTGAGATTCCAGTGAAGGGCCAACTTTCCATGACTTGATAACAGAGCTCTGCAGCCAGCCACGGGCTGATTAGTCACCAGACGATGAAATAACTGTTGGCATAGAACAAATGGTCTTCCACCAGGAGGCTTTTAAAAAATAACCTCCTGTGCTTTCAGGCTGGATTCTCTAGCAAAATCACATTTGGTAATGACCTCAGTGCTGGAAAGAATGCCAAAAAAAAAAAAAAAAAAAGAAATGAAGCGGTGGGGTCCATGACCCCAGCACCCCTTTCATTTTCTATTTAGCTACTTACCTGGACAGGCAGTACAAGATCCTGAAGAGGGAAGTAGGCAGGGACAGACTAAAGGCAGACCAAGGGGTATGGCTGAAGATCTGCAGTCTTGCTCTGATACAGAACATTACAGAGAAAAACAACTCTCTGCTTAGAGAATGTGGAAGAAACTCTTAATTCAGTCCTGCTTTTCTGTACAGCATCCCCCAAGCTCCACTGCCTCTGAACAACCTTTACTTTTTAGAGTACGTGAACAGAAAAGGTCAAGAACCTGCCTCAGAAAAGGAGAGACAACAAACAACCTCAAACAACCGCCACGCCAGGAATCGTGAATGGAGAGCAAGCTCTGCAGACTCATCCCCTGAGGCCAAGGCAGCGGGAACGAGCGCGCCAGGGAGTAAACGGGAAGCCTGGCTCCAACCTGCTGCTCTGCAAATTCAAGTGTCCTCAGCGAAGGCAGACTGAAGTTTCTGTTCCTACTTACGTGTTTATAAACGTGTTTTACATTACACCCTCAGAAGATTTAAAAAAAAAATCAAAAAGATTCTAATTTATTTGACCACTTCCAACGTTTCTTTCTCGTTTGTGCAACAAATAAAACAAAAGTACACTACTACTGAAAGTTTCCGAAATTGAAGGGTATTCAACCTCATCAACTTAGGGTAAGTATTACCTTTACGTTCTCCCTGTCCATGTTAGGTTCCTGGAAGGGAACGCCCTGGAGGTCCTGGTGGACAAGCGGACGATGAGCCAGCAGGGCCCTCATGCAGAGAAGACCATCAGCTCCTGGCTGCCCTAGGCAGAGCATTCCCAGGGTGAGGGGAGATGATCCCTGCCCTTTGCTCAGCACTGGGGAGATCACATCTGGAGTGGGGCCAATGAGATTTATAGTCTTACATATATGTCTTATGTCTTATATAGGCTGTACAAGACATCGGCAAAATTCACAAAAGCTCGTCTCAAAATGTTAATAGAGAACCTCTGTACGCCAGGCATTTGGCTTCTTGGTTTTAATTCCTTTTAGGAGTTTTAAGTTGCTCAGCTGTACTACTTGAAATTTGTTTTTCAGAAAAGCTAGTAGAAAAACAGACTTTAGGAAAGGTAAAGGGAACAGAATAGATGGCAGTTTTTTTATTTGAAAAGTTTGCTATTTTATTGCCATATAGGCTCCCCATTTACCAAAAGCCTAGCTGATTATTCAGGCTCTCTCACATAGTTCAGTGAGAGAGAAATCCATTATTTTCTACAATTGGCCAGAAACATCCATGCACCAGACAAAAACAAGCAAACAAAAAACAAAGCAAAACCAAAACAAAACAAAAAAAACCCTTTAAATCCTAGCATTAACAGCTCTTTTTAATTTGTTTCCAAATTCTCGCTTTTTGCTACTTAAGCAAGAGGTTACTTATAAATTGAGCCACTTGCACAAAGCTTTCAGGATCTGACCATTAGAATACAATACAGCATATATCTTATTTTAAAAACCGAAACTAATGTTCATCAAAATGATTCCTTTAACCAAGAACTATGATTAACTTCATTTTCTTTCCATTAAATTGTAAAAAAGCGATAGTTTCATCCCCACTGGTGAGTTCCAACTCCCAGTTTAACTGGAATTTGCATGACTTTGCAGTTACAGACTACAACACAACTTCCACCTTCTTTCTTTCCCCTCCCTAAAGGGTAATTAGTCACATGTATTCAAGTGCTCAGCATATAAACACAGAAACCAGCATCAAACATGAACTAGACTGTGAAGTTCTCTTTAGAAAACATTTTAATTCTGAAATCTATAATGCACAACTTGTGCAAGAAAAGGATGAGCCTCATGTTAAAGCAAAAACAAACTGCACTATCTAAAATGTAATCCAAAAAAAATCTAACATTGAGACTAAAACTAAATTCTTCCCTTCACCTAAAAAAGAAAAAAAAAGGTTAATCCTCCAGCTCTATAAACTGTTTTGTCTTGGAGCACAGGACACGAGTTAAACAATGTCAGTTTGTAGCCAGAAGTAAATATAAAGTGGAGTGTCCGGAATGAGTGCGTAAATCTTCTTGGCTCTGCCTTTACATATCTAAAACAGCACATGTGTTCATATTCTGACCTGTGTATCTCTTCCAAAAGAAAGAAAAGCAACAACAACAAAAAAAAAAACCTCAAAGAAATACTTTTACTCAGCAGTAAGCAGAGCTCATCTCACTTTTGGAGTCAGTTACAACAACACCAGCGTAAGCGAGAGCAATTATGTTTCCCTCCTGGATTTTTACAAGGAAGACTGTGCTTCCATAGAGACTGACCTGTCAGTTTTAAATTAGCTTCAGCACCGACCATTTAAACACTGGAAACAAGCATGAGTCATTTCATTTTGCACATGCAACAACCCTTGCTAGACAAGAGCAATTAATAAGGGCTCCTGCACTTTCTGTTGCTACTAAGAGGTGTCAGTAAGATCCACCTCATTTCAAGCAAGCAGCTTCCTGGCACATGTGCTTATGGCATCAGGTCACAACGTACTCATTTCTCCTGCACTCCTGAATAACGATTCACGCTGAACAACAACCCCGCGGCCGGCGGGTTGCGGGGCCTCTAGCACTGGGTGCCTGGACAGCTCCGTCCATCCCCGCAGCCGCCCAGCGTCACCTCCCCACAGAGCCACCCCAGGCCACCCACACCTACTTGCTCTGTGTTATTAGGCAGAAGCTCTTATGGTTCCTTCATCTGTAGGATAAGGAAAATGACCTCTCTCTCTGCAGCTTGTCCGCATTCTTTGATTGTCAACGATTCAGATCCCATGGTGGCAGAGTTATCCAGACTTGGAAATATTTTTCCTCAGGAGGAAATTATGTCCCCAAAAGCATTCAATGAGGCATGTGCTGACACGACGACCACTTCAGCGAGCTGGATCCAGGAGAACTCACCCCTCCTGAAAGGCAGGTACCTGCATCTCACTTCAGCTTAATCCCACACAGTCTTCTGTCATCCTGTGTAACAGCCATAAAAACAGCACCATGCCAGAGCTCTAAATCTCTCCCTGTCTCCTTGCGACTGACAAGCGTGATAGCACACATTTCTGTGATTTACCTTCCATCACCGTCAAGCAGGATTGCAAACAAGCCTTTACTTCAAAGCAGGGGAAACAAATGTTACCCACTGCTTGGCCCGCTCTTTACTCTGGAGCTTGAGCCATCTGCTTAATTTTGCATGTTGCAAGAAGCAAAAGAAACTCACAACAAAACACTTAATATAATTATAACAGCAACAAAAGGTTAAAAAAAGAATAAACAGGTAAAAAGCAAATGCAGAAAAACTCTGTCTTTTATTGCCATTTTTCCTATCTATTGCACACAAAGGATCCTTTAGCAAAAGAGATAGCTGAGATCAAAGAAGTAGGTTGCATCTCACTGCTTTACACTTATGCGCCATATAATCCCCTAGGAAAATCCTCTCTTCGGTGGGAGTGGATCAAACGCATCCAATTCTGGCTGCAGAATGAAAGTCAGGCCTTTTTAGCAACATTTACGGAAGAGCACATTAAAGAGCTTCCCTCTGGAGGTTCTGCCACATTCCCGCAACTCCCCAAAATGCAGTCAGAGAGGAGGATAAATCACTACAGGCTTGCACAGAAACCATTCTCCTCTCAGAGGCTCAGACTGAGACAGAATCACAGAATCACAGCATGGCTGAGGATGGAAGGGACCTCCGGAGACCATCTAGTCCCAAGTCCCTCCTCATACAGGGATACCCAAAACATCTTGCCGAGCACCTTGTCCAAGCGCCTTTTGAATATATCTAAGGAAGGGGAGACACCACAACTCCCTGGGCAACTTGTGCCAGTGCTCTGTACCCGCACAGTAAAGAGGTTTGTCCTCATGTTCTCATGGAACTGCCTGTGTTTCAGTTTGTGCCCATTGCCTCTTATCGCTGGGCACCACCGAAGAGACCCCCTCCCTACAACCTCCCTCCGGATACTTACACCCATTGATAAAACTCCCCCGCAGTCTTCCCAAGGCTGGACAGGCCCAGCCCTCTGTCCTTCCTCACAGGACAGCTGCTCTAGTCCTTTAGCCAGCCTGGCAGACCTTTGCTGGGCTCGCTGCAGTAGCTCCGTGTCTCTCTGCAGTGGACACAGGGCTCCAGGGCCAGCCTCACCAGGGCTGAGCAGAGGGGCAGGATCCTCTCCCTCAACCTGCTGGCAACGCTCTGCCTCGTGCGGCCCAGGACACCCTTGGCCTTCTCAGCTGCAAGCAAACATGGCTGGCTCATGCTCAGCTTGTTGCCCATCAGGACCCCCAGGTCCTTCTTTTTACTGGTCAGCCCCAGCCTGTACTGGTGCAGGGGGTTCTTCCTCCCCAGGTAAAGGACCCTGCACTTCCCTTTTTTGGACTTCATGAGGTTCATCTCTGCCCATCTCTCCAGCCTGTTGGGTCCCTCTGAACAGCAGCACAGCCCCCTGGGGTATCAGCCATTCCTCCCAGCTCTGTGTTGTCAGCAGGGCTCTCTGTCCCTTCATCCAGGTCACTGATGAAGATGTTCAACAAGATACACTCAGTATTGACCCCTCGAGGACACAACTAGCTAGAGGCCTCCATTTCGGCTAGCACTACAGACCCCACCTCAAAGTCAAGGTAGACAACGTCCACTGCTCTCCCCTCATCTATGCAGCCTGCCATGCCATCACGGAAGGCTAAAACATACCCAAGCTGGAAAGCACCTTCATTTCTTCAAGTGGATCAACTGTTCTGTGAACAGAGTTTTTGTGAACAGGTGCTGTTCTGTGAACAGAGTTTTTGTAACACTTTTATACCATTTTATTTTAGTTCACCAAACCAGAACTTCTTCTTCCAGGCAGGAAAAAAAAATGTCAAGAATCTCCTTATACATCCTAATGTCTGCATCTGTACTGAATGCAATGATTTGGAGGATGGAATTAGAGAGCATGGAATTGCTACTTTCCCATTTTTAATGTTGTGAGGCCATAATTTGAAATAATTTCACACTGATCACATTCATGTGCAAATATCTGCCAGATAGAGCTAGCAAGGGTCCACTTAAAACTGGAGCTCCATTTTGTAAGTATTCCCAAGAAAGTAAAACCAGAAGAACAAGGAGGCTCTTTTTGCAAGATGGATAATGGAAATGAGTCTAATTCTGCTACACCCACCTCAACTGCCAGTAGCAGCTATATTCCAGGAGAAGGACAAAATCTACAGATTAGCAAGAGAGACATGCAAATACTGCAGATATTTTTCCCCAAGATATGAAATGTGCACCATATAAGAATAAATAACCATCTATCTACTTCACGAAAAATATTTTATACATGCATTAGCCATTAAATACTATTTCCTGTAGGCTGAGGAAACAGGAAGGAAGGAAGACTGTTAATTCTACATTTAAAACTTCAAAAATGCTTAAATAACGTAATGGTGAAGGCTGCATCAGTTTGTTTCTTATAATGATGAGTACCTATTAAAAATCGATAAAGACAGATAAACCATCAGCTAAAATATGGCTTTTAGAGAAAAGTGTCTGAACATTACTCAGAGGTATTGAACTAAATGGCTGGAAAGAGAAGACTCTATGCATTAAAAAATGGAGAAAAAGAAAAAGAAAGAAAAAGAAAAAATGAAAGAAAAAGAAAAAATGAAAGAAAACAAATGAACAAACAAACAAAAAAGCAAAAACTCCAGAGCCAAAGAGAAAATGACCTCTGGATCTGTTACTAAATAGACATATGAAGAAGCAGATCTGTACAGGTACCTGGACTCTAAATCCACAGTTTTAATAAAAATGAGACATAATTGGAAAAAAAAACCTCTAATTTTAATAATATCTATTATTGAGAACTTATATTTTTCATAACCTATCTATCTTCTGACAAAAAACACAGTCTTTTTTAAGACCAGAAGTCTTTATTAATTGCTAGAAAATGTCAGGTTTAAAGCCTTTGAAAAAATTTAAAATATGCCTATACATCCAGGATGAGTATCACAAATGTTAATTTGGAAGAGAACAAGAAATCTCAAGACAATCTCAGCTCTCCATTAAACAAAATTTTCATCTAGGCATTGGTAAACTGGGTATAGTGCTTAAATATATTTACTAGTTTGTAGTAATTCATACACAAAACCTTAGAAACCAATACTTAATTTCCTGATCAATATCCATTTCAAGGAACTGTGACAAGCAGTAGGGTTTTTTGTTGTTATTCTCTATTAAAAAGAAGGCCCTTGCTGGCATAACTGCAGAATTAAGAATCAATGAGAAAAAGTGTCCCATCTGCAGAGAATATCTGAGAGAGAAAAGGGCCAGTGATGAAAGTAATGGGAAAGAAACTGGGACAGGACGACCAGTGCAGGGCCAGCATGTGCTGATCCGTGGCGCCAGCGCAGGAGAGGCCGCGACAACACTCGCATGCACGACAGCACGAGTTCAGGTCCATCCATGAACTGCAGCAGCCACAAAGGACTAGGAACTCAGTGAATGAGATCTTATGTTTCACACTAACATTTACAAAAATCTGCTTTCCAGCCTGCGTACTCAGGCTACTAAGCCTGAATGTTTATACCAGGTTCCAGCTTGCATCCATCCCAACAGCGACGATGCTGTACATCTTTTATTTATGGTCCATGCTGAGGCTCTCAAGGAATGTTTTGTTTCCAGTATTGGGCAACGGATTCTTTTCTTCCTGTCTGGTATGTATTAAAATAGACATGTAACGGTAAAAAGTTATACTATGGAAAGACTATAAGTGTCTATGAAAATACACTTTACATCTGTATCGCAGCAATTCAGAAAGGGTTGATGCCATTAAAAGGATCTTTATAGAATCAGGATTGTGTCTAGGACAGCTCTGAGCAGGAAAGATCATGTTACTGCTTTTCTCTTCCGAATCTATTTCATACAGCAATTTTCTAGTCCCTCCATTAAGGAAGTCTTCCTAATATTTACTAATTGGCCTTCTTAGCCCAGCTTTGCAAAAAAAAAAGCATTTGAATCTAATAACTGGAACGATGTGTGCGGGAATACTAGCCTCATCATCAGCTTTTACGTCTATAAGCTCTCAGCTTCAAATTCTAACTCTGAGGATTTATTCTAAATATTAATATCATTAAGCAAAGCAATTTAAGAGGAAACATAGAAGTGAAAAACACAATGTTGTTACAGTATGCTTTTGACCACTTCATCTTCCATCAGAGAGAGCATCATAATACAATAAGGTCATGCTGACTAAATTCAATTTTCTGCTTTTGTCTTGTTTCTTTCTGTATTGTTTCTTCATTCTATCTGTGGTCTGCATATTATTTTTCTTAGCTGCAGTGCTAATGAAATGTCTCATATAGAAAAGGATGAGAAATTGTCTTATGGCTGTAGCTCAGTTCTCTCTGTGGACACTTTGTGTCTACCACTTACACTCTTTACACACCTTTGCCATTTGACATCCTCTTTCACTGCAGATAACACGCTTGTATTTAAGCCATTTAAAATGCTGCATGATGCACTGCGCATTTAATTAACATACTTTTGATGTAGTCCCACAGCCATATGTCTTCTGTTACTTGTAATATGGATTGAAATCTGTATTACTCTACCTAGTGACTCCAAGCAGAAATTCTGTGTGAGTACCTGTACTACTTTTTATCTGCATATGCAAGAAAAAGTTTGGAACACAGCTCTTAGAATCGAGCAACATGAAGCCTTTCCTGAAAGAAAAGTGTAACAACACCTGTCAAATAGGAAAATAAAAAATAAAACAGATTATCAGAGGAGACAGAAGACATAAACTTTATCTAGTTCAACAAATTGTTTAGCACTATGACTGAAAACTCATCTATGGAACAAAAATCTATTTCAAAATGCAAAAAAAAGTTTGTAATTATTTGCCATGATCAAAATTCCCAACGAGAATTTCCAGCTCAGTTCCAGAAGTGAACAGGTTATCACCCTTAAACAGCAAGTAGAAGGGCTAACGGGGAGGGCTTTCCTGAAAGGGCACAGGGTGTCGGTGTGAAACTTTTACACCAAGGTAACTAGAACCGTGTCATCTTCAAATGTCTCAAATTGAAAAACAAAAGCTAGGCATCTGCTTTAGAAATCATCAATATCATATCCACATTTATTCTCTATGGTAATACTACCTGCTACACCTATTTATTTAAACACATTCATCTAGCATGAAGTAACTCTTTACATGTTTAGACTGTACAATCTGAAAATTTTCAGATAATATTAATAGGTTTCTATGACCAATGTATCTACTGTTTACAATGAGATCACTCTTTTTTCTCCTTCCAATTCATGGATGTCAAGACTCATTCTAGCAGCAGAGGATGATGAGCTATTTCAAATGTCTTTTTTCCCCTCAAAGCTTTCCCCTTCCTTTTTAAAGTCACTCACCATTTTAAAACGTAGGGTTTTTTCCCAAAATTATATTCATTTGAAGCTCAAAAGCTTAACACAGAATAGGAATAGCTTTTCTACGGCATGATTTTAAGAACATCTCATTACAATAATAATTGGTGAAATATATTGGTAAATATATTATTGGTGAATAATAATTTGTGAAACACCCCTTTCATTTGTTCTTAATAATCAAAATCACAAAGTGTTATACTGCACACTCCTCAGCATTTTGCATTTCAATCAACACCAAAAACATTTTAATTATATATGAAGACTGCAGCTCCAGCCACATGTCTATTCACCTATGACCACTACTGTTCTCTTTTGAAACAGAAAATGGCTGCAAACAGCCTCCATGACAAACTGAGTTGGCGCTTTTCTTAGAATGCTTGTTCATTAAAACTCAAATGTTGCAAGCTTCCAGATACGGCCCTACAACAAATGAGCATGCCAAAATATTAAAATGGTCTCTCAGCACCAAATAACCAAGTTTATATTCATAGGAAACACTGACCACTAATTTTAGCTTAAGGTTGCATTTATGCTTTTTGGAAATACATATATATGGCAACCAGAATTTCAGTGGAAAACTCAGGACACGAGTTTGAGGTTTTAAGGAGAGCAGGGCTATAGCTAGATAACAGAAAATAAGAGGGGAGGTTTTCATGCCCTCTCGTGCATGTTCTCCCTTATCTCCTCCTCATTTTGGTCCTGCCCCTGCTCCCTCATCTTGCACCTTTGCTCACCACCCATCCCTTTGTCGCCTGTCCTGTGCCCTGCCTTCCACCTTGCGGTTTCACCAAAGTCCTAACAAACGATGTTTTGCAATCCAGAGGTCATCTTTGATGCTGGAAAAACAGAAGCGGGGACAACAGTCTGTACCTAGATTAATCTGTACCTTGTGACCTAGATGTGTCATTTCCAAACCATATGCTCCAGATTTACAGGATCAGCTAGGGCCAATGAGTCTCCAGAGATTTGACTATATAAGGTGG